CAATTACAGAAGTCCAATCCTACTTCATGAATGCCTGTAGTATCAAGAACAACGAAGTCGTTATTCCATGCGGGTTGTGGTACATGACAACGTTCTCTGAGTCGGTGACCTAGTTGAATTCGTAGCCCCAGTTTCTTAAGTGTTGTTGGTTTGAAGAAAGAACCTGTCCACTCCTATGATAATTGATTAACTGTAGAAGGAGGTTTAAAGATAAGAACACACCTGAATGCGATGCAGTGGGTTGGCTCAGTGGTAATCAACCATGCATGTTTGACAAATTAACTCCCCCCCTTCGCAATCCTGGCACCTATACAGTGTCTCAGAGCTCAAGCACTGACAACAGTTTTCCATCATGTACTCCCCCCTCCCTTCCCACCGAATATCTTCCTCCAGAAACACATCGCTATCCTTGATCCATTCTTTCAATGGGTAATCCTTTGATTAAATTGAAATTAGCCTTGAAATAGAATGAAATACAATGGCGTACTGAAGGTCTCTTTTTTCGTGGCCCTACAGAAATGAGATCGTCACTCAATGCATCAAAATAGGCAGGGTCTATGGCTGCAAGCTCTGCGAAAGCATCGTCCATTGTTGAAGAGAGATTTGGGAGGGTTGTGGAATCATCACTGATATTGGGATAGCTGGTAGGAAAGTCGACTGAAGGCATACAAGTTTCTTGTTGTTCTACTTCAAATTGTACATGCTTGGTATTTACTGAGAGTGCGTGGTGACCATGTCGATTAACGCGTTGGGTGAATTGAAGGACAGGAGTGATAATTGTGGTGGTGGGCTGAGTGTCAGGATCCTCGTCATCCGAAAGCTCTGCAGGGCGTGGCTCGGAGCGTTTCCGTTTGGGAGGCATTGAATTGGAGTAGCAACGGGGCTGGCAAGAATGACTTGGGTTGGTGAAGTGCCTGACTCTGTGAAGGTGTTTTTGCTGCACCTGACAACTACCATGCGATCTGATCAGGGCAATCAACGTCAACCAATCAATGGTAGAAATCAATCAAGATCGGTCTATTGTTTTCATAAATAGGAGCTTAAGCTCCCCTTTATCTTTAACAAAATGAAGAGCAACTGCAAATCGTTGGATGGTCTACAAGATATCCCAAACATGCAAAGTGTCTGTGGATTGTACCAAGTGTACGAAGATTCAAGGCCTATCCTATTGTGAGTGTTTTTATTTTTATTTTATTTGAATGGGGATGACTATCTTTGTGGCTATTAGCGACCACATGTTGACACGGAAATCAGATTTTCCGGGGATCTGGGAGGTTTATTGGTCAGTCTATTGATTTGAACTACAAAGTTTTTTTCATGGATACTCTGCACAGCTCAAAGTGTGGAAAGCCTTACTACTTCTACAAAGACGATGGGGCAGAGCGGTTGTACCTTGATGCAACATACATGGTGTGCATGCAAAAGATGAGACAAAATACTTAGGCTGGGTGTTGAGGAAGCAGAGAACATCAATTCATGCACATGAGATCAGGATATGAAATTCTAATCTAACTACTTGGCAAATACACGTCGACGATCCTCATTTAACTCAGTCAGCTTCGAAAAGAGACTGAGCGCCCTTTCGCAACGTTCAGTATAGTTACCGTTAATCTCTGACAAGCGTGCTTTACCCTCAGCAAGGATAAGTTGATCCTTCGTCCTGAAACCATACTTCACCCAGCGGAACAACCCCCCAGCAACAAACTGAGTGAATGACATTCGGGTCTCACCTGGCTGGATAGGCGTATTACCATGCCAAAAAACCGCCGAAGGAATGAGAATAGTGGAGCCGGGAGGAAATTCAATGATAAGCTTGAGATCAAAGATAATCATATGACCGCCAAGCGTGTAGTCGTAGTCGCCAAGTGCTGTGATCGCGCAAAGACCATGAGCGACGTTGGCGGAATCAGTGTGATCGAGGGTGATTGTATTGGGGCCTAAGTTGAACGTTGATGCGGTAAATATCGATTTTTCGAAGTTGTGGATGAGAGTCGGGTCGTGGTCGAATAGATGCTAT